CCCCCCCCCGCGACCTACTCCTGTAAGGATCTAAGGGACAAGGGAGGAAAATTCCCCCTCTTCTCAACAACCATAATATCAAGATATTCAGGTATATTTAGCAGGCCACTCATAAGCTGAGTTAGACTGTATATCCTTGAGTTTTAAAATTAGTGATTCATAAATATAATGAACAAATGGATTATATAAGCCAACCAGATTTATAACGAGGAGCAATTTTACCTTTAAAGAGTTATCAGGGCCGTTGGTGACCAAGAGGGGTTGAGAAGAAAGAAATTTCATGCCACAGACAGAGCCTTTATGAGCATCACGCAAGGTACTTGAAAGTTGACGTTTTTCCAAGTCCCAAAGGGCAATATGGCCTTCTGTGCTGGCTGAAGCCATGAAAGGGTTACCATCTGCAAAGCATAACACAAAATAAAATTAAATTAAAGGAAAAAAATATAGTATGGAATTTGCTTTTAAGTGACTAGATATTCCATTTTGACTTCCCTGTGGCACCCTCTTTGCAAGCCTTAGTAAAGGCAAAAATATTATCATTGGTTTACGTAAACTACATGTAGAAGAGATTCCACTCCACCAATGCTGATCCATTGCAGGGTTATCTCAAGCAATTAATTCCCCAGAACCCATTTATAGACCTGAGTGGAGAGAGGCACTGCAAGAATGAAATGCCTTGCCCAAAAAACACAACAGCTACAATGATGCCAGCCTGGGCGACCTGGACCACTTAATCTGGGTGACTTAAGATGGACTGGCAATCAAATCAGGGGGGGTTAGCCATTACATGCATGGTCATGCCATGCTACAGAAATCAGAGGTAGGATCTGGCAGGTCACTCCTGATCAATCAATTTGATTTTTCAAAACAGACATTAACTTCAACCTTTGTTGTAGCAATAATACCTGTTCTGAATGTCAGAGCAGTGACTGGGCCCCAATCTTGATGAAAACTCATAACAACTTCATCAAACTTGAGGTTATGGAGGATAATCTTGCCACTCTGCAAGCCCACACCTACTACATCCACTGCAGGAGCCTGGTGATACAAGAAATATCCAAATGGTATCAATTTCATTGTAAATCTGTAAACCAATTCAGTCACAAATATTTGTGACATGGTTGCTTTATAAATTCTATTTTTTTCATTAATATTTTCCAGAAGCACTATTACTGAGATGAGGTGGTGTTCTACTATGACGCGAACTGTCTTCCACATCAAGAAGAAGCCTTACTATGGCTTCCTCTTTACATAACACCAGCGAGTGAGTTTGCATCGTAATCTAATGATGCACATTCCTGGCATGATTAAAGTTAACTTTGCTTTTTCATTTCCATTGGTTATGTTATTATTATGTTATAAGTCCCTACATCATCTGATGTATTACTTGATCCTTTTCCTTGGTTTTATTCTTGATATAAATTTGAAAATGAAAGGAAAAAACCAATGCTATCTTAAGAAGCAAAACGCAATATTATTATACTTACTTGTTCGACTGATATTATGGACTCTGACCATCCAGAAAATGTGTAAATGAGTTTGCTGGATAAGACATAAATTAACATTGATGCAAACTAAATAATGACAAACACTGATGTAACATATTGATGAAAATACATGTACACAATGACGACAAAATACAGAAATCCAATCTTTACACAAAATAATTATTTCTCACAAAAAAGGAAAAATTATTAATACATACAAGAGAAGATGCAATACTGTTTCTAGTCTCTGCATGTTACAGAAACTGGAGTTAAGTGTTGGTGTAATACCAGTCAGCCAGCTTCACTTATTGACAGACTCTATATTCCTTTTACATAATTATGATGCAACAGGGTCACACAATATCTATTTTCTGTTTATATCAGTACAGTGAAACCACACCTTACAGTCAACTCATGAATATGGTCACCTCATCATCACAGCCAATTATTATCACCCTGGTGAAACATGCATCCCTTTTTTTATAAGGAAACCCCATTAATCCGGCCATCAACCACATTTCTGAAATCCTAATACTCTCTTTTATTTAAAGCACCCGCAAAATGTCATGGCAACGAAATCTTTCTATGACTTGGTTAATGGCATAAGAAGGTGATTAAATTATTGACACATCTGTCAGGAAAAAGTGTGGACCTTGCCTAGTACCTATCTGGTTTCCTCCAGCCCTTCACAGTCAATAGATTTTGGTGACATAACAGAGGTGAACAGCTGGTGAAAGCTTCCTTTCCTCTCATAGCACATTGCCCAAAATGCATTGACTGCGACAAAAATAATAGAGGCCTAAGAAGTAGGCAACTGTAAACCTACTTTGTTTTGATATTCCAAAGTTGCATCTGGCCTTGTCGACTGCACAGTAAGATCTTATTCAGATACGTACTGGGGTGCATCAAACATGTGACGTAAAAGTTTTGGGAATTAAACTCCATCTCAAGGTATAATTCTGCAAATTAAAATTTAATTTTGATCAATACAGTGTCCATGTAACACATATGACTTTATTTGCACTACCTTGTTACTATAGCTACACAACTACTGAATTAATTAGCATTCACTTGGTATTGCCATTTACAATAAGGAAACATCGTGCCATACATGTAAACCTTACTGGGGTTCTGACCTTTCTTCCTATTTGAAACTTTCACCAGACTGAAGGTTGTCTTTCCTTATATCCTAGACTTTGTTTTAAAGGGGTTTATCATATAAGGGTGCCACTGTTTCCTGTAGACACAATATACTTTGTACCTGTTGTTTCAACAATCCACACTCTGACTGTGCTTTCTTCATCAACAGAAATTAAATGTGAACCAAATGAAAAAATAAAGTGGATGTTACTCTTGTGTCCCTCAAATACAGCCACCTAACAAAAATAACATACATATATCTCAAGAAAAACACAACCACATAATCTTAAGCAGTAAATAATACACTGCTGGTATTAGGAAAGAAAATCTAAATTTTGGGCTGCTCCAGAAAATATCCATACTACCCCTACAGAAGGGATTGGAATCTCCTGGGAGTGGTGGTGGGGGTTGGTATGACCAAATTAAAACATTTAAAGAAACGTGAGAAACTTAATTATTCCAGAGGGTGGGAGTTCCTTACAAAACTACACAATGAAAACCAGTCAGAATTAAATAAACATACTGCCTACATGCAATTTTCATTCACAATCTTGAGATGTAGAACCTCCTTACACTGCATAATACACAGTACCACACAAAGTACGGCTCAATAGCTTTAATTTGATTACAACGATCGTACACACTATTGTTTTATGTATAAATAAAAAATAGTACCAAATTTATGTAATTTTCGAAACAAACCTGTTTTCCTCTTTTCCAGGAAATAATTTGATTTCCAGAACCTGTGATCACCAAGTCTCCATGCGATAATAAACATGTTATTTCACCAGATTTCAGCAATCCTGTGAAAGTACAGAAAAGTAAATGTCATCTACTAATAACACAACACCACATGTAGGTGAAGTTTAGATGCAAGCATTCTGATGGCACAAGAATTTTCCTTATTCTCAAGACCACATCTAACTTACCAACAAAGAGCAGGTTTAGCTTGGCACACTGCAAAGTAATAAAAGTAACAAATCTCACCAAGACCCAACAAGAAAGGCGATCTACCCAGGCGATCTACAAACTTTCACGTGGAGTAAAGCTGAGTTAAGAAACGACAGAAAATTAACCTACATTATAGACATGAAAGGCCGATCCGACAGCAGTAGTAACAAGGGTCTCTGTTCCTTGTGTTTGTAAGGTCAAGGGAACGTGGTTTGCCACAAATCCAAGAGCCCGAAACGGACAAAACAGTTGACTTCCAGCAACTGCGGCCGCCATGTTGAATTTAACCACGTGCGGAGTACCGCTGGCCAACTTCTGGCTCCCAAAACAAAACAGGAACTGTGGAGTGTTAAAATAAAGAAGGGTGGAACGGTGGAACGGTAGAACGGTGGAACGGTGGAACGGTGGAACGGTGGAACGGTGGAACGGTGGAACGGTGGAACGGTGGAACGGTGGAACGGTGGAACGGTGGAACGG